TCATAGTATTTGTCACACCCCGAACCTACACCCTGGATGTAGCCAGCCCTTGAGAACCATCGCTGGTCCCTAAGCGAACCCTAGCCAACCCTTGGCCTGGCTCACTACTCAGTGGAAGACTTACTCAACAAAAGAAGAACTTTAATTGTAATGATTTAACTCATAAGGTATCAACAACAGCTTAACCCAAAGTATGTCTTGAAACACTCAAAGCAACTCAAAGTCTCAAAACATAACAAAGGAAATAGTGAAAGACTCCTCAACTAGTACTGTTTATGAAGCCTCTAAATACTACGATAGATGTCGGCATAAGACCGACAACATCTTAACCAAACTGAAATATAAATGTGGAACCTACCATAAAGCAAGGAGGCTCACCAAAGCGTACTGGAATACGAAGGTATCAACGAAGTGCCTGTTGATGACCCTGAATACCTGTATCTGCATCATAAAAAGATGCAGTTCGAATGACATCAGTGCATTGAATGTACAAGCATGTAAGGGGAAAACTGAAAGTAATAGTTAACTGAACCGATTACGTGGGAAGACAATACTAACCCCAAACTCAACTCCAATATGAAAGCAATAGTAGGAAATGCAATATTTAAAGCTTTTAAAATAGTAGATATCAACTCAAATGTATAAAATACAATAATATACTCTTTACTCTTATTTGGGAGATTCTCTAAGCGATAACCATCGCTATGAGCTATGTTATAATATAACGTCTTGCCCACGCTACAATAATTATCCTATACTTTGCTGGGGTATAGAATACCTCAACTAAGTGGATCCATCCACTAAGCTATTCTTAAAAGCAATAAGGAATCATCTAAAAAGTATGATCCTTTACCCATGTTGGCATACATGGTTTATGAGGATTATGAGTTGTCTGAACTCATCCCTAAATCGGTGCTCAATACTACTTCCAATATTATATAACTCATGCTCAAATGTTTAAAACATAACTCTTTCTCCATTTGAGGTAATTATTCAAAAGACTCTCTTAAAATAGGTAATACTCTGAAACTTCTTTGAACTCGTAGCTCATTTAGAAATCAATGTTTTCATTCTTTTAAATGTAAAAGTATTATATTTTGGGAATACTTAGTTCCCTTATACTCATGTTGAAACATGAAAGAAAACTCTTCTCATTCTCATACTCATTTACTAAATATTTAGTTCAAAACTATAATCAATTTAAAGAATTCTCAAAGTGACTCAAACGGACCTCTTGACTTTCCTCTTAACTTTAGTTTAATTCGAAATGTGAATTAAGACATGTAAGATCTCTCAAGAATTACAGAAGACTTTAAGAGTTCATATAAAGAAGAGAACGTACACATGTTTTGAATAAACACATATGGAAAGAAGGACGGAAGAGTAAGGACCTAGCGACCCTGGTGCACTGAGTGGCGTAGGGCGCCATCCCCCAAATTACTGAGCAGTGTTTGGGGTGCACTGTTGGCGCAGCGCAACAGAACCCAAACTACTGGCCATAGTTTTGGCGCTATGGCTGGCGCGACGCTCCACCCCTCTGCCTAGAAACCCGACGAATTTTCTTGTCAAATTTCAGGTCCTAACTCATCTAGAATCGAATGATTTCCTCCAAAATCTCTTTGATTCATAAACCCAATACAAATTCAATGAAATACCACACAAAATATATCAAGAAGCATCACTCATTCGCAAAATCCTCACCTCAAAACTCAAAACCTCCATTGTTAAAGAACGGGGCTAAAACTCAAGAACTTCTCAAGAATCTCAATATAAACAATCTCATGGACAAATTGAGGAATGAAATTACATGATTGGCATCAGGGCGAACAAACTCAACACTATGAGAAGCCTACATACCTCGAAAGAACCCTTTTTCTTGGAAAAATTCCTTAACCCTTGATTGAACGCTTGGAAACCCTCTTTTCATCTTCTTGAAACTTAGACCTAAAATTCTAAGCATTTTGTAACGTGAAAAATAACTTAGCATCTGATTAGACACTTAACTTGGGTGAGGAAAAATGTGGTCAAGTCGTATGAGGTAAGGAAAAGACCAAAGTACCCCTTTCCCAAACGGATGAAAAGCCTTAACTGGATAGGCTTCACTCAAATAATCATAATTTTTTACTCTAACCTTCAAATTTAGCAAACTTGGTGGCGTTGGAAAGATTACTCAATGACTTTCATTTGAAGAATCACATTTCCATCAGTTTTAATTTTGGACCAACTTTAAATGACTATATTTTTTAGCACATAAAGAGTTAGGTGGCCCATCACATATCAAATGGAAGGTCTTTGAGTCTTCTTTCCAATACCACGAAGTTTGATAAATATCGATCTCCGAGTTAAATGTTATGGCTGTTTAAGTGAATCCTTTCTAGTTAAGGCATTTCATCCATTTGAGAAATGGGAATTTTGGTATTTTCCTTACCCCACTAGGCTTGAACACGCTTTTCTCACCCAATTTACGGGTCTAATCAGATGCTAAGTTATTTTTCACATTCCTAAATACTTATAATTTTAGGGCGAAGTTTCAAGAAGAGGAAACAAGGGTTTTCAAGCGTTCATTCAAGGGTTGAGGAATTTCGCCAAGAATAATCATTTTTTTTCTAGTATGTGAGGTTTTCCATAGTAATGGACTTGTTCGTCCTCACGCCAAACATGTAATTATTCCATTAATTCGTCTATGACATCGTTTATATAAATATTCTTGAGTAGTTATTGAATTTTAGCCTCATTCTTTAACATTGGAGGTTTTGTGTTCTTGAGGTAAGGGTCTTGTGAATAAGTGGTGTTTCTTGATAGAATTTGAGTGGTATTTCAATGAATTTGTGTTGGGTTTATGAATCAAAGTAAATTTGGAAGAAAACAATTGATTTTTGATGAGTTAGGATCCAAAATTGAACAAGAAAATTCGTCAACAATCTGGTTTCGAGGTGGGGCAGATCCCCCCTAAAGGGCTAGGAACTTGATGCTTCAGCTTTGGGGTTGGCGACCTGTGCCTACAGTGTGCCCCAAAGCAGCCTCGAGACTGTTGAGGCTAGCACGATGCGCCACTACTAGGCCAGGGTCGCCTGACCCTTTTCTTCTCCATTCTTCATCCTGTATGTGTTCTTTCAAATCATATAGTCGCTCTCTTCTTGATATTAACTCTTAATGTCTTTATTAATCCTTGAGAAATCCTGAATATCCTGATCACATCTCTTAATTTAATTTATAGTTCAAAATTTAAGTAAAGTTTAAGAGGTTCTTTTGACTCAAATTAGAGAACTCTTTTGCAATTAACTATAGTTTTGAACTAAATCTTTAGTAAATGAGTATGAGAATGAGAGGAGTTATATTTAATATTTCAAAATGAGTATAAGGGAACTAAGTATTCCAAAGTGTAACACTTTTACCTTTAAAAGAGAGAAACATCAATTTCTGAATGAGTTTATGAGTTTAGAGAAGTTTCAGAGTATTACCTCTTTTAAGAGGATCGTTTGAGTAACTACCTCCAATTGAGAAAGAGTTATGTTTGATAAATTTGAGCACGAGTTATATATTATTGGGAGTAGTACTGAGCACTGATATGGGGATGAGTTCAGACAACTCACATTCCTTATAAACCATTTCACCAACATAGGTAAGGGACCGTACTTTTTAGACAACTCCTTATTACTTTTAAGCATAGCTTAGTGGATCCACTTAGTTGAGGTGTTCTATACTACGGCAAGGTATAGGACAGTTCTGGCAGCATGGGCGAGACGATGTATCATCACATAACTCATAGTGATGGTTGTCGGTTAGAGAATCTCCCCAATAAGAATAAAGAGTATGTTATTGTATTTTTATACATTTGAGTTTATATCTTTTGTTCTAAAAGCTTTAAATATTGCATTTATTATTATTTCTTTTATATTGTAGTTGTGTTTAAGGTGAGTATTGTCTTGCATGTTATTAGTTCAATTATATTTGTTTCAGTTTTCCCCTTATATGATCGTACATTCAATTTGCTAATGTCATTTGACCTGCATCATTTTTTGATGCAAATACAGGTTTTCAGGGTCATCAACAGGCGCTCTGCTTATACCATATGTATTCCAGCTAGTTTTGGTAAGCCTCCTTACTTTCAGGAGGACTTCACGCTATCATTATTGTTTTGTTGAGTTGTCGAGGATCCTGTCCCGATAGCTTTCGTAGTATTTAGAGGCTTTCTATATAGTTAGAAGTTGAGGAGTCTCTCCCTATTTCCTGTGTTGATGTATTGAGACTTTGAGTCACTTAGTTATGTTTAATTAAGTATTTCAGACATTTACTAAGTTGGGTTATTGTTGAGATGCTTTGAGTTAATTGTTGGTAGTTGGAGTCCCCATTTTTCTTGAGTAAGACTTCCGCTAATTAGTCAGTCAGACCAAGGGTTTGCTTGTGGACCAACGATAGTTCTCAAGTGCCGACCATGTCCAGGGTGTAGGCTCGGGGCGTGACACCAAGCTGCATTAAAAGGAATTCAATCATATTAACATGAAATGGCTTAGTGAACATCAATATTTTAATCTTCTGACTTTTAATAAACCAACTTCACCTCTCTGTTTGCTTGCACTTCCTTGAGATACTGCAATTTGATATTCAAATATTTTGTTTTTCCATGAAAAACTAGATTATGAGAAATTTCCATGGCTGTCTGATACTCCACAAACACTTTCGTGCTTTCTTGTTGCTCAAGATCAAGAGCTAACATAATCTTCCTTAGTCAAAGAGCTTGATTAACAACTGATATTACAGTTTTAAATTCAGCTTCTGCAGTTGTCTGTGCCATGATACCTTGCTTCTTTTTTAGCACCATTAAAATCATCCCGAACCAAGCCTAAAACAATTACCCGAAGTGCTTTTAATGTCATCATTTGACCCAACCCAATCACTATCATAATACCCTTGCAAGTTGAAATTCTGACTTTTCCTGAAACTAACGCCATTGTCCAAAGTTCCCTTGACTGTGCTACGATACCTTGCTTCTTTTAGAATCATGAAAAACATCCCAAACCAAGAATAAAACAATCACCTGAAGTGCTTATGATGTCATGATCTGACCCAGCCCAATCACTAGCAGAATACTCTTGCAAGTTGAAGTTGTAACTTTTCCTGAACCTAACACCATATTCCAAAGTTCCCTTGACATACCTTATCACTCTTTTGGCTGCTTTCATGTGCATTTCACTTGAACAATTCAAAAATCTAGATAAGACACTTACTGCTTGCAAAATATCGGATCTCGTGGCAGTGAGATACATGAGACATCCAACCATACTTCTATAACTTGCCTCGTCAACCTTGTCACTACCATCATCTTTAATCAGCTTTTCTTTCTGATTTATTAGAGTGTTCATAGGTTTGAAATCTTCCATTTTGAACTTCTTCATTGTATCCCTTGCATATTGTTTTTACAAATGAACACTTCATTGTGGGTTTGACAAATCTCCATTCCAAGAAAGTAAGACATTTCTCCCTAGTCTGTCATTTCGAACACTTTCTTCATCTCTACCTTGAATTCATCTTTCATTTCAAGGTTGTTGCCTATTACAAGAAGATCATCAACATAAAGTGATATAACCATAATACTAGAATCTCTTCTTTCAATATATAAAGTTGATTCGCTTAGGATTTTCTTAAAGCCTAAGCCTTGCAAGTGATCATCAATTCGACTGTACCAAGCCTTTGGAGCTTGTTTTAAACCATAAATGGCTTTCTTGAATAGATACACTTTGTCATCATGTCCCTTTATAGAAAAAACATTAAGGTTGCTCAACATAAATTTTCTCATGTAGAAAACTATTTTAAAAAAATGGACTCGACATCTAATTGAAAGATTTTCCAACCTGTTTGAGTAGCAATAGCTAGTAACAACCTTATAGTATCAAGCCTAGCATTTGGAGAAAAGGTTTCTGAATAATCGACTCCAAAAATTTGTGAGTAACTTTTCATAACAAGTCTTGCTTTGAGCTTTTTAACAGATCCATCAACATTCAATTTCGTGTGATAAACCCACTTCACACCAATGATCTTCCTATGTTATGGGTTTTCCACAAGCTGCCAGGTCTCGCTCTTCTCAATAATTGCAAGCTCCTCTTCTATTGCAGCTTTCAACATGGGATCCGAAACGACTTCTTAAAATCTAAAAGGCTCCAAAATGGCCACATTGCATCTATGGTATATGTCAGAGTGCAACCTTGTTCCTTTCACATATTGATCATCAATGTTCTCATATGAATCTATTAGATTTCTTGTGATCTGCTTCTGGTTAACTTCTTTTTAGTCCCATTACTTATTCTCCATAAAAAATACATCTCTGATTACCATAATTTTTTCTGTATGAGGCTGGAAAAATCTATAAGCTTTGGTGATTGTACTATAACCAATAAAGACTCCAAGTTCAACTTTCTTATCTAACTTGTCCCTCTTAACCTGTGGAATATGTGAGAAGCACAAACAACCAAAGATTATTAAGTTTTGTAAGGATGGATTATACCCATGTCATGCCTCAAAAGGTGTCTATTCCTTCACGACTTTTGTAGGAAACCAATTTATCAAAAAAAAAAATAACAGTGTTAGTTGCTTCTATCCATAAGTTTTTTGGTAGGCCCTTCTCACATAACAAGCATCTTGACATCTCCATTATCGATCTGTTCTTCCTTTCACTGACACCATTTTATTGTGGAGTATTTCAAACAATGAGTTGATGCTCAATTCCTGCATTTTCACAAAACTTTTTAAATTGATCAGATATGTACTCGGTACAATTATCTGATATAAGCATTTGAATCCTGCAACCACTTTGATTTTGTACCAAAGTTTGAATTTCTAGAACACTTTAGGTACTTCAGATTTGAACATGAGAATATAAAAATCCAACGCATTTGTGTCATATCATTAGTGAATGCTATAAAATATTAACTTCCGTTAAGAGAAGCAGTCCTATGTGGTCCATACAAATCAGTATGGACTAACTGAAGCTTCACTGATGCTCTCCGGGCTGCCTTGGCAAAAGGCATCCTACTTTGCTTTCCCAATTGACATGTGTTGCAAGTTGCTTGCTCATCCTCCATAAGTGGTAGTCCTTGAAACCATGTCTTTCTTCAACAAGTGCAAGAGTTCCCTGTGATGAAAATATTTTAATCTCTTGTAGCATATATTTGTTGTCATCTCTTGGCTCAATAGGCAGCTAACTTTTCCTCCATTGGATCAAAGGAAAAGCTCTTTCCTCTCATTTTAACTTGATAGATTTGTTAGCCCTTTGGATCAAAGATTACACACTTCTTATCCACAAATTTAAGATTAAAACCATTTCCCAAAAGTTTCCCTACGTTGAACAAATTTTGATCAAGTTCAGGAAAAAAAAGTACATATTAGATTAACTTTGTACCTGAGTAGCTTTCAATAGCTATTGTACCTTTCCCTTTGGCTAGAAGATGATCCCTATTAACAATTATGACTTTAGAGATTGCAGATCTTTCTAACTCTCTAAAAATCTCCTCATCATGAGTCATATAATTTGTACAACGGCTATCCATCAACCAGCTTTCGCTTGAACTTCTACTTGTAAAACAAGTAGCCACAAAGAATTGATTAGAAGTAGCCACAAACAATTGAACTTCTTCTTGTTCGTTTGCAATTTGAGCTCCATTTAATTGTTATGGTCCTATCTGCAATTTGAGCTCCATTTAATTGTAATGGTCCTTTTTCTTTGTAAATAATCTCAGAATGACCAAGTTTATGACAATTTATGCATCTCATATCATGTTTTTTCCAACATTTGAAGTGTGGATGATTTCTCTTCCCAAAATGCTGACATGGTGGATATTTTCCACTTTTGTTGTCGCTGCTAGAATTGCTATCAGTTGCAGAAACTTCTATTTATGTAGGATAGCTATTCTTAACTTCTGCTTCCTACCTTTGCCTCTGACATTGAATTGATGCCTTGCTTGCAAAGCTCCTTCAACAATTTCCTCGTTCCTTAACATTTTTCTTTGTTCATGTGCTTGCAAGAAGTTTAAAAGTTCCGCCAAAGCAATGTTTGACAAATCTTTTGTATTTTCCAGTGAAGCAATTGTTGCTTCAAACTTTTCAGGTAAAGTAGCAAGGATTTTCTGCACAATCCTTGTATCAGAAAGTTCGACACCAAGTAGCTTTACCTTATTAGCCAAACTAATAAGTTTATCTGAGTACTCTTTAATTGTATCAGATTCCTTATTTTTTTTCAGTTCAAATTCCCTAACCACGTTTAAGACCTTCATGCCTCGAATTCTTTCATCTCCATAATGTTGCTTTTTCAGAAAGTCCCGTATTTCCTTAGTTGATTTAAGAGTCATGATTTTGGAAAAATAGTAGGTGATACTACAACATAAAGACATGCCTTCACCTTCAACTTCCTGGTCTTTTTCTTTTTCTGAGTTTAAATCTGAGCCATTGTAGGATTGCATGGTAAAAGAGGAACTTCATAATCCTCCTCTACTGCCTCCCAGAGATAACATATATCAATGTAGGCTTCCATCCTAACAACCCAAAACTGTTAGTTTTCTTCATAAAAACTAGCAGAGCAAAGCTAGTTTTATGGAATGGTTTAATTAGGTTTGGGTTTTACTCAATATAACTCACAAATTCTTAGAAGTCCCTTAAGAGCTAAAGGGCTCTGATACCAATGTTTGTGTTTAATAGAGGAGAATAAGAACTGATTGAAGAAGAAAAAGGAAAAGTGATTTGTATTGTTAAATGAGACTGAATAAATACATCGTATCTTAACTAGGATGATGTAAAGTAATGCTAAAAAATCTGTTAAAACTAAGTTATTTTTTGCTGATATTGAGGAACTAATACTGAACAGTAATTAACAGAGTTTTAAACAAACTAGGAAACAAAAAAATGGCTAAAAATATAGCAATTTATTGTGGTGTGCACTTCCTCAACATTCTTCTGCCCTCCGTCATCTTTTAGCTTGAATTTAGGTCATGTAGCTGTAAAAGACAACTGCAACAATTAGTTTTAGTTTGATTTCTCTATTTGCTTGCTTCAAGAATCAATTTTTTTTTTTATCCTCACTCTCTTATTTAATTTATTCCCTTATGTTTTTATTTATGTTTCATATAAATCACATGTTTTATGTAAAAAATCATTGTGTTCAATTCTTAGTATTTACCTTCTTATGTATTAATTTTATCGAAGCATGACTCATACGCTTATCTTTAGTATCCTAGCCTCGTTTGAATTAGCTAATTTTATCTCACTACGAGTAGAAAAAATGATTCATAATGTAAAAGAGAAGGAGAAATTATCCATGTTATTGTAGAAGCTTGACTCGTGTCTCTAGATTTTGGTGTTGTAGACTTTATTATTTATACATTCTATTTTGATTTTTGAAAGTTTGAATTTGAGACTCGATTTACACTTCTTAATTACTTATGCTTTGTATTTTTTCTTTAAATAATTAATAATTTGGATAAGAGATTGTCATACCTATTGGTGGAATCGAAATATGTGTCATATTATGACCTCTATTTTTGGGCTGTGACAAATACCTAGAAGGAGACAAAGTCGGGGAACATGTTCTTGCTATTATACAATTGACATTTTTTTCAACTTATTATTTTTACTATTTTTTACTTATTTCAGTTTAGTGCTGCCTATTTTCTAGCTAGACTTAGTCAACTTTAGTTGCTTAACTTTTTGAAGTTAGTGGCCCCTTTTATGATTGTTAGTGGCACATGTACTTATTCAGTTTTAACATCCACTTTGTAAGTGGTTACTAGATAGGAAATGGTTAGGTTTTTCCATGGATAAATTCAGATCTTCTGCAAATTAATGCATTTTTGGAATTTCATAAGTTCACTCTATTTTTATTCTTCAAATCTGTTTCTTGAGTGTTTGTGTTTTAACAGTTGCATCAGAACCTCAAGTTGATCTTACATGACCAAAAAAATTTAACCTACAACACAATATGACATCCAACAACCTACCTTTAGATCCAGCATTCACTTTCACTGGTGAAAATTACCAAATCTGGTCTATCAAGATGCAAGGTTTTATGGAAGCCTATGAACTTTGGGAATCTGTAACAGAAGATAAACCACCTGTTGTTCTACCAACAATTCCTACCTTGGCTCAAATCAAACCTAACAACAAAGAGAAGGTAAATAAATCTAAAGCCTAGTCGCTTATGAAGAATACTGTGGCAGATTCTGTGTTTTACAGAATCATGATTTGTAGAACATCGAAAGAGGCTTGGGGTAGGTTGGAAGAAGAATAACAAGACAACGTTAGAACACGTCAAATGCAAGTGTTGAACCTAAAATGGAATTTGAGTCCTTGAATATGCAGGAAGGTGAAACAATTAGTAAGTATGCTGATCAAATCTCCTTAATTGTTAATA